TTATTCGTCCCCCCCCCCAAGCTGAGTCACTGACTATTAAAGCTGGAGTGTGTGTGTGTGTGTGTGTGTGTGTGTGTGTGTGTGTGTGTGTGTTTTGTAAAACCCAAGGCCAGAAATAAAGGGATTTTCATCCCATCAAAATTGTTTTGATCCTTCCCAACAGTGAATATTCTAAAACAAAACAATAACAAAACAGCTAACAAATAGCAAAGGGATCCAATTTTTGTTTTATCTTCCTTCCTAATTTCTCTTTCACTGTTCAACTCTCTTGCTACAGTGAAAAGCTCAAAAGATAAGCAAAAAGAAGAAAGAAGGGGTGATATAAAAACTAGGTTATTGATTCCTGAAAAATTGAGACTCATATGTGGTCGATACATTTCACAAGCTACAAGAGAACATCAGGCTCAGAGCATATTGTGGCTACTCTTCATGCTTTTTTTTTATTTTTTTTGATATGACGACTGTCAAGAGGGCAATTGCTCAGGGGTTTCCTTTCATGGCCTCGTAAGGAGGCTCTGGAGCTTTTCCAACAGTTTGGTACTAAGACTGATGGCAAAGTACTTCTTTCCTCTCTTGTACCTCTGGGTCAAAGTGGAAGGGGAGGGCGATGGGGCAACCCAGGCTGCAAGGATGGCAGTAGCAAGGGTCAGGCCCCCTGCTGCTCTTGTACGTGGGCTCCCTCAACCGTGACAGGTATTTGTCACCCAAAACTCCAAGTCCTTATTTAGAAACTTTGACTCAATTTGAGAAAAGATAAGGTGCTTGCATTGCAATTTTTAAAGAATTCACTCAACAAATACTGAGAATCTACTGTATACGGAGAATTGGCCTAAACAGATAGATGAGCAAGACTCAGCTTTCTCCTTAAAGAGCCAATAATCGAGGGCTTTTTTCCTCGGGAGAGAAGGGTCCTGCGGTGGTATAAAAACCTGCTTGGGTCCCCTGTCCCCATGCTTTAGCCCAGGGGAGGGCAAACTTCTTGACTTGAGGGCCACAATGGGTTCTTAAACTGGACCGGAGGGCCGGAACAAAAGCATGGATGGAGTGTTTGTGTGAACTAATATAAATTCAAAGTAAACATCATTACATAAAAGGGTACGGTCTTTTTTATTTTTTTTAGTTTTATTCATTTCAAACAGGCCGGATCCGGCCGCGGGCCGTAGTTTGCCCACGGCTGCTTTAGACACATCACTCTGTCCTGATAACCATGGTGATGTCAATTAGTGATCATAGGTGTTACTGGCTAAACTGGATGTGTCTATTGCCAATATATCTTGTTTACTTCCCAGGTGCTATGTTTCAACATTGCATCATAAATACCAGGTCATATAATAATTATTGTTATTAACTTCACAAAACTCACACTTTCCAGGCAGATGTAGACATTTGGAAAGATATAGGCCTTTTAAAACCTTGTAAATAATATCAGGTGATTAATAATACAATGTAGTACAGAACACCGATTTGATTGCTTTTTAACTCAGTATCTCACTAGAAAGGAAAGACTCATAAAATTAGATAGTTGGGGTTTAGTAGCCTGATACTATCCTAATGTAAATTAATAATAAACATTTGAAAACAACAGAGGAGGTTAAGACATTTTTTTTTAAGCTTGGATAATTAAACCCTGCATCAAAATGGTATTTAGCACTAGAATATAATATACTACCTACTGCTCAGTCTATTATCTATCATTATCTTTTGAACCCTGTAATTGGACAAAGAGGAAACTATTCATAATAATCAGTTTGTTCAAAATCATCTGTTTGCTGGAGTCTGGGGGTGCACATTGCAGTCATATTGAACTGAGGTGAAACTGCTTACTCCCTCCTTTCCGTTGTTTGTTCATCGCTGTTACCACAAAGTGCAGCAACACTACACACCTGGGCAGTCCAAAGCATCTTACCAAAATTACCGAAAAAAAATAGTCGTTTTTCCCTGCATCCTATGAATGGGCAACACAAGTCTTATTTGCTGCAAGACAGGATGTCATTGAACCTGGCCCATCCCCTGCCAGGGGTGTATCACATAATTATGCTTAACACAGCACTGGGGCAAGCAATCTGTCCTCTGGAATTTCCATTAGATTCAACCATTAGTGGCTTTATTAATCCCAGCGCTGGTTTTATTTTTCAGTTATTCTTTGGTAGTTATGTTCCTTCTATTACAGCTATCCAAACATCGAGGTTGCACGGGGTTTCCTGTACACATTTAAATCTAAGAGATTTAAATAGAAAAGCAGCACAGGCCATTATTGGTCTATTTTCAGTTTTCATTATCAATAAAACAAGACATCAGCATTTTCATGCTGCGGGAAGCCTTCAGGGAAGTGCAATGATGCTGTCATTATCTTCAGACCAGGCTGCCGCCTGCCCCCCTGATGCAAATGGAATGGCGAGTCCAATAAAATTAAAATAAAATCACGAAAGGATTGGAGTCACAGAGAGGGCTGCTGACCTGGTCCCCTGCACGGCTCCCTGAAAATGTCCCTTTGAATTTAGCGGAACCTGGATGGTAAAGACCACAGATCCTGACAGAACATAAATTCGTCTCATAATAACATTAGCAGGCAGTCAAATAAATGTCCTGCTGTTACATTAGAGACAGGCTCTAATCTGGTGTTTTCCATGGAAATGATCATTTTCTTTGCAACGGGAGAACAGAGGATGCAACTAGCTTAAACCCAACAGGTTCTATTTTGCCGTATAATTATTTTTCACCTTCCTCTGTCTTTTAAATAGCAGTTTTGAGGAGCTGTATAAATGAATTGTGAGTTTTAAAACTATTACCAACATGAGTTATGGGTGTTTATGTTCATGATCATCAGTCGTGTTTCCCTGACTCTCCTTTTAAGAAAAGTTCTTTTTTTTTTTTTGCAACCCCTCCTCTCACAACTAAACAGGAGCCCTGGTGTGAAGGAGGTGTTGAGACCCCCAGGGTCCTCTCATGCTAGCCTTAAGGATCAAAGGCAGAATAGACTCACTATTGTATTTGTGTATTGCAGCTCTACTACTTAAAACCATTGGCAACAAGTATCACATACTAAAGAGCCCTAAGAAAATGCCCAGATCAGGTGAACCCACGTGGTCTCTGAGAACAAAGGCCTCGAGTAGGCAGCTTGATTGCAGGGGACTTCCTTGGTTTTCAGCAGAAGGCAATCTCACCTGGAGTACAATACCCTCCTCTCATTAAAAATTCAAGATAGAATCTCCTCCTGTACCCTTTCTACAGAACCTGATGCAAGTTCATGGGCTGCGTGGTCCTTAGCAGTGAGTGGCATTTAATCAAAGACTCTGTGAAATGATCTCAGAGTTTCCTGAGCCCTGTTAAGTCACCAAGCTTGTTAAGAGGCCCTTTCAAACGGAATGGGAGATCAAACTCTGAATTTAGGCGTGTTTGAAGCTTCCGCATAGAAGTCAGAAACAATTTAATGTACACCCATTTCCTCTGCATTTTCCAGGGCCCAGGCTGCAGACTCACTACTTCCCTGTGGCGTTGCTCATTACGAATAGATCATTTGCTCGTCTCCCATTTCATAGCATGTTGGCACATTGTTTTCCTTAGGCTGAAAAGACACCACAGAAATCTTTTGATTTTGCACAAGCATTTTATAGTTTATGCATTGGTTTCCAAACATTATTTTATCTAATGAAACCATTCTCTTTCTGTATGTGGGTGGTGCTTCCATCCCAAAACTTGAACTGCAGACCAGCTGCTTTAAGGGGGAAATAACGTTTTGGCCCAATTTAACAACTTTTTCTTTCAACTTTCACTCCTCAATAGTTTGAATTGTGTCTCTACTTACATATATTTTTATGTGTCTAAGTTGCAAATCTCAGAGAATTTAAAGTCAATTCTCCTCCCATTCTCATAATTTCCTCTGCTTTCTGTTGATTCCTTCCTTATCAGGTGAAGTAGTTCAAGGAAAGATACACTACTTTTTCATTAGGTAGGTGGTCCCATGCTTATTGGTCCCCTCTTTCACTTACCTTTTCATTTCCACAACTCTTTCTTCCTTGTTTCACCATAGCTCTGTCCCCCACTCCTCTCTGCACTGCCGTATTTATAATTTAAATTGCAAACAGTAACTGAGTCCACTTTGCCAAGTGTCCACTTTAGTTGGCACGTGTTAATGATTTTCTAATGGCGTCCCCTGTGTTCAATTCATAGGGTTGATGTTAAAGTTTCACGTTGAGTAGTGCCCCTGAAAGAATCTCCTGCGTTGTTTGCTTACCTCATATAAATGTACTTGTTCTTGGGTTACGGCAAAGATCAGTAACACGTTATTTTGCACCAGTTTGTCAATGAGTTGTCCAATTGTTGGATATTCCTAAAATTAATATATAGATTTTAAGTATCATCTTAAGAAAAACATGCAAAATAAAGAAAAGACCGTTTCTTTCAGGTATCTTAATGAGTTTGACATTTCAATGCTTGTAGGCATTATTGTATCTGTCACTCTAAGTAAACAAATACACAATTAGCATTATTTAGTTAATTTGTTTAATAATCATTTACTAAATCTTATAAACCCAGTGAATTCCTAAATCAGTGCCTGTCCATGACGTATGGTCTGTTACTTCTAAGGGAGATCATTTTAAATGTATTTAACAATGAGGAGTGGGCCATATTTTCACATTTCCTCTTCTAAGAGCCACTTGCCCACAGTCTGTTAGAGGGGAGAGAGGTAGTTAGTCTATGAAGGATGGGACTAGGTGGCTCTTATAGCTCTGGAACTGCAATTGCATGAAGTGGGCCGAGGCTGAGGAATGGCATACAACAACTCCCACGTCTGTCAGATTTGAGACGTTCCTATACCAGTTCCTGGGTTTGGTCTTATTGCCTTTTGAAGCCACTAATTAGTTTTAGGGGACCCTGCGATATTTTCACAGGACAGTTGAAAACACATTGCACATCATTCCCAAGTGATAGGATACTTTAAAAAGTAAAGAAGCTGTATATTATCAGATCTGAAGATGGCCACTCTTTTCCAAGGCTGAAGAACACACAGCACAGTTGCCTCTTACAGTACATGAGTCCAAATGTGGATCATGGAGAAAGAGGAAATGCACGTGAAAGAGTAATCTGCAAACAATTAAATTAAGAATTTGTCGATGGTTCTGAAGTCAGCCAAAGTGGAGAGACACTGTATACTGGTGTGGTGTGTTCACATGTTCTCAGCACTTCAGGTAAATGACCCCACGGCAAATCTGGCTGTGTAATACATGCTTTCCACACCATTTGGATTTTTATTAGTAGCTATTGATAAAATCCAGATAATATAAATCTTCCTGGGCCTGACATTTTCAGTTTCCTCGGCTGTTCAACTGCCCAAATCCTGAAGCATGCATTTCTTCAATGATGACCCCTCCTTATCTCCACATGTTCTCAAACTTTTCAACTTCTGTGCATGTGTAGTCAGAATCATACTATGTAGCCCCTCCTAGGTGGGCGAACATGAATTTCTATTTGATCCACATTAATTGGCTTAGTTCCCACACAATTATCTTGTAAGTTCCTCAAAGCTAGGGACCATGTCTTTTTTTTTAATGTTTTATTTTTAAAAAAATATATTTTATTGATTTTTTACAGAGAGAAAAAGAGAGAGATAGAGAGTTAGAAACATCGATGAGAGAGAAACATTGGTCAGCTGCCTCCTGCACAGTCCCTACTGGAGAGGTGCCCACAACGAAGGTACATGCCTTTGACTGGAATCGAACCTGGGACCCTTCAGTCTGCAGGCCGACACTCTATCCACTGAGCCAGACTGGTTACAGCCAGGGACCATGTCTTATTACTTTATGGCTCCTGGAGCCTGGCCGAGTGCTCAAAGGGCACAAGGAGCTATGTTACAGGCAGACACAGAAATAGTTCATGGCTTCTCTGCATTTGTAGAAACTCAGCAAGAATCAAGTGAACAATTATTAGATGAGAAGGTCATATAAGCAACAGGTAATGTTTGCTTCTATGGTCCTACTTTTTCCAAGATTCTATTAGGGACATTTCAATAATTGCAAAAATGGCGTGTGGGGAGGAGCGGACTCACTCTCACAATTTCTTGCTCCTTGTTGGCTAAAAGACAAAATGTGGCTACCCTCATTGACCTTGTAATATGGAAAGGCAGTTTATATGATTAAAGAACATATAAGCGTAGGGAATACTATTGAGCAAAAGATAGGAGAAAATATTCATGTTGAAGTTTAGAAATTTAGGCAAGAAACGGTAGCAGATATTTGTGAACCATTAGATTTTTAAAAATTGGCAGCACCATATTAAGCATTTATATGCATTATCTCACTAAATTCTTTTTTTGGAGAATAGTGTTTTTCAATATGAAATTAGAATTCTTCCTCTTTTTCTTTCTCTTTCTCGTTCTTTCTTTTTCTTTCTGTCTCTCTTTCTCTTTCTCTCTCTCTCATTCTCTTTCTCTTTGTCATTCTCTTTCTCTTTCTTATTCTCTTTCTCTTTCTTTCCCTTTCTCTTTCTCATTCTTTCTCTTTCTCTTTAACTTTTTTCTCTTTCTCTTTCTCTCTACTCCATACAGTTCTACAGCATTGTCATTTTAAGAAGTCACTTAAATTCTCTGTAGCATATTTTTCCAGATATTACTAGTAAATGGGGATAATATAACTTTCTCAGGTTGTTGCTTCATAATTCAATTCTATTTCTTAGTCAGCACCCACTGCGCTCCAGGCACTCCTGGTCCTGAGGAGCACACATTAAATAAACAGAGACAGACATGAGCAAACACATTTCCACATAGTGATGGGCAAGAAGACATCTAGGTATGGGAGCGAGGGAGGGCGATCACTACCTGGCCTAGCAGAGGTCAAAAAGGGCCCCTGGAGCAGCCATGATCAATCTGGATTTTAAGAATAATTAAGTTTCTCAGAAGCCTAGGATGAAAGAGCATTCCAGACAGAGGGAATAGCATCCGCACACACATGGTAGCTTTATGGTCTGTTCAAGGAAAGCAGTTACCTACATAGGATTCTGGTGAGAATTGAATGAGATAATGGACGTCGAAGGAACTCTGAAAATTTTACAAAAGTCAAGTATTTTTTTTCTTTGTATGTCACCAGTATTTTTTAAATGACAAAAAATACGCCAAATGTGAATACGCATTGAGCAAGCAGTACTTGACTAATTGTCCCCATAGAGCCCTGGTCTGGGAAGGTATGGCCTTATTTAGAGAACATGCACTGGGCCCATCATTCACAGTAACTCCTGGGGGATGACTGTTTTGGTCTGAGCCCCCCTTTCTGGGGCTGTGGTTGAGAACAGAATGAACTGACTGTGTTGCTGGCCTCCGGCTCTGTGAAAAATTGGGAGGTTCTGGAGTCATCTGGGCTATAGCAGATCCAAACTTCTCACATAACCCCACCACCCACCTGTACCCCTGTGGGGAACCTTGAGGGTGGTGAGGATTGAGACAGGGAAATCTATTCATCTCAAATCAGGAAATGTACTGTGTGCACCAAGTGTGGGTTATTCTATGTCCGCCAGCCATTATTGCTTCATTTGCCTTCTAATAGCCCTGAAAACAGTGTAGAGTGCAGATTACACACCAAGACAGTTGACATGGAGTATTCATTCTTGCTGTCCAGGTGACAGAGCCCATCGTTAGGAATGACGATGCCTGCCAATTTGCTGTCCATTCCAAAGTGAGAATCGGCGTCGCTCACAAAGACCAGAAGATGGAGGGAGTCGTTCCGCCAGCCGATTTTTTCCTGCAGTGAGAGAGAAACATTTGGATTGCATTGGATAGAGGCAGGCATTTATCGAGAGTGAATCAATTATGATTGGACACATTCAGAATATAACAATTGTATTGCTGGTCTATTTTAGCTGTTTTCATCTATTATGAGTTGCTAACATTAATGTATTAAAAACACAAAATTTTTGTGATGTTTGTTTCTTTCTGGATAGCATCTTCAGATGATCTATGCTTCAGAAAAAAATAGTTCCACTATAATCAATATTCAGTTGATCCCAACTTTTACATGGTTATTTTTACTGTCCATTTTCAATGTACCAGAAAAATAAGGGGAGGGAGGTCACAGATTATCCCAAATCCAAGATGAAGCCAAACTAGGCAGAATACAGCACAAAATGGAACCTGAGTAAGCCTGTTTTATTCAACTGTCACCCAACATTTAAGCACAAATTTCTCTTTCTACTGTATCATCCAAAAATTATAAATGTAATGGAAGGATAAGAATTGCTTATCAAAGCATAGCCTCAAGGTACTGCCAATTAAAATGGTCTATTGGCTGTTTCTTAGCAGAGCTTTCCCCTTCAGTTAACAGTAGTCCTGGAACTAGTGGGGCAAAAGCTCATCCTGGCTGCACCATCCCTCCTTCTCCTCTGCCTCCACCACCTCCTCCTCCTCCTTCTCCTCCTCCTCCTCCTCCTCCTCCTTCTTTCCCTTCCCCTTCTCCGTCTCCTTCCCCTTCCCCTCTTCCTCCTTCTTCTCTTCTCCTTCTCTTTCCTTCCCTAATTCCCTGGTCCTCCCACCTTCTAGGAGCTTCAGCCTGTCCATTTCCTGATATTTTCCATGAAAAGCTGTCACCTGAAGACAGAGGAATGATTCTTGTGTATACGTTGCTGACTGTCAAGGACAAGTGATGTTTCTGCACTGTTGTAGAGACCATGTGGCTTTGGATGCTTATTTTGTTAGTTCAAAACAATATATATCTATTCATATATAGAGATTAATACTGATTTAGGTCATCTTTTCTTTTTTAAAAAAAATATATTTTTATTGATTTCAGAGAGGAAAGGAGAGGAAGAGATAGAAACATCAAGATGAGAGAGACTCATTGATCTGCTGCCTCCTGCACGCCCCCCACTGGGAACCAAGCCCGCAACTCAGGCATGTGCCCTTGACTGGAATTGAACCCGAGACAATTCAGTCCCGCAGGCAGATGCTCTATCCACTGAGCCAAGCCAGCTAGGGTAGTCATCTTTACTTTTTAAATGACTTCTGCCTTTTATTTTTTACCATGATTAACTAAAAAACTAATTAATCTAATTTAAATCTTTAAAAATTAATCACACGTGACTTGTAGTAAAATTTCCCCAAGATATCTACAATTTTATTAGGATACCCAAATATTAGGCATAAAACTGCCCATTGTAACATGATTGAATTAAAGATTTTACAGGGATTCTGTTTTAATAAAAGTATCAAATGTAGAAATATGGCAATTAAAATAAAGATTAAGTTAGCCAAGCATTTCAAAGCAGATGTGTTAATAAGAGATGAAATTTGTATTATCAGAGTAAAACACACTTTCCCTCTTCATACCTTACACACAGCAGCTTGCATAATTGCATCAAATCCACCCTCAGGTGTGTCAATATTAGCAGAAATTTTCTGTTTCTTCACAATGTCATTGAATTTTCCAGCATCATTTGTCAATGGCAAAATGTGCTTGAATCCAAATGTAGGTAAGCAGAAGTATGGAATACTACTACAAAAGCAAAATATGAAAAGATTCTTATGAAATATGACATAATACATAATTAATAGATCTAATAGTCTGGCAACATTTGCTTACATGATAATGAATTTTTCTTAAAAGCCTGACTCTGTAAATTGGCTATGAGCCTCACTGCTAAGGTTGTTGTTATCATTTCCCACTCACCCCTTCCAAATTAACCATATTAGCTAACACTTAGAGATCACTGTATCTTACACCGGCTCAAGCTCAGATAACAGGTAATCAGGTGATCAAACTCTCCACTCGTATGTGTGTGTGTGTGTGTGTGTGTGTGTGTGTGTGTGTGTGTGTGTGTATAATCATTACCTCCTATTGCCTCTCAACTCTCAGCCTTACTACAGGGTGACTCATACTCAATGACAGGTATGAATCACCCTGAAGCCGGGCTGAGAGTGAAACCTTTCTTCTTCCTCCTCTACTCCCTCCTGCACTCCCAGCCCTGCCCCCAACGGCCCAAAAACCAGAGCATGGCTCTTGGTTCTAGATCCCAACTCTACTATGACTGAACAGACTATTGTGGACCAGCCTAGAAATAAAACCACCACTTAATACAGTTTACAAATGGGGAAAATGTCATATTAGCATATCTGCCCCAAAATATTATAGTAGAACAGAAAAAACTAATCATAAATTCAGCCACATCTTATTCAGAAAGCCAGTTAGTAACTGTGCATAAGACTTGGGGCAAGTTACTCAACAATCTGAGTTTTAGGTTTTCATTTATAGGATGGAGATAATAGTACAGAGCAAACATTCTTAAAGTGAGGCCCCTGGACCAGTAGCATGATTATCACTTGTCATAAGTGCAAAATCTGTAGTACTACTCCTGACCTACTGAGTTAGATATGTTAGGGATGGACTCAGAAATCTGTTATTCTAAAGCTTGAGAAAACTGGGGTAGTAGAGACAAAAGGCATAGCTTCCAGTGACGTTGTGGTGTGCTGTCTGGGGAGAGCTGGTTGACTCTTATAAGAGCAACTTTGCAGGTTCAGAAGCCTATCTTGTCAACACAGATAGAGCCAGTACATCTTGCAGGGTCAGGCTTCTGTTCACCAAGTTCATCTATCTGAGTAATACAGCCAATCCTCATCATTCATAATTCCATATCTGCAAACTCACCTACTTGCTAAAATTTCTTTGTAACTCCCAAATCAATACTCTCAGTACTTTCTCAGTCATTCATGTGAATGCACAGAGTGGCCAAATAATTGAATCACCTGATACACATGTTCCCAACTGAGGTCAAACAAGGCTTTGTCTTCTTGCTTTAGCTTTCCATGCTATACACAGATATCCTTTCCATGGTCTATTTGGTGCCATGTTTTTTGCATTCTTGTGCTTTTCGTTGGTGATTTTACTGTTTAGATGGGCCCTCAAGTGTGGTGCTGAAGGGCTGTCTAGTGTTCCTAAGTGCACAAGGGTGTGAGGTACCTTATGGAGAACGTAAGTGTATTAGATATGCTTTGCTCTAGCACGAGTTATAGCAGTTGTTGGGTGTGACTCAATGTTAATGAATTAGTAATATATATTAAACTAGAGGCCTGGTGCACAAAAATTTGTGCACTGGAGGGGGGTCCCTCAGCCTGGCCTGCCCCCTCTCACAGTCTGGGAGCCCTCAAGGGATGTCCTAAGCCACAGTCTGGCCTCCCTCTGTGGGAGGTGACCCGCTGGCTGATCAGGGGAAGGCACCGCCCCCATCATCCCCTCACTCCCCCACTGCTGCTGCCTCTGGCCTCCCTCTGCAGGAAGTGACTGGGCTGATCAGGGGAAGGTGATACCCCCATCACGCCTCTGCTGCTGCCACTGCCAGTCACTGCTGCTGCCTGATCCTTGGCCCTCACAGCCACTGTGGCTTGCCTGAGCCTCAAGCAAGCTGCTTCAGCTTTGTCCAGAAGGACGTCCAGAAGACATCTACTCTAATTAGCATATTACCTTTTTATTAGTATAGATAGGGTGTTACACACAGAAAACAAAATTATATATTGATCAGTTGGTGAAAACATGACCAGAGGCTCACAGGAACCTAACCTTGTGTTTCTTCTAGGAGCAATGGTTTAACATTTGCTAATTCAGTGTTCCAGGAGACTATACAGTAAGACTCTTGTGAATAATGAGAATCAATTGTATATACAAATCAGAATGACTATGGATTTATTCATACAGAGTAATGGAGTTCTACTGGGACCAGAATGCTGCTGTCTGCAAGGGTAGTCATTTTCTTACTATCAGTAGACTTTCACAGAAAGCAGGTCATAATCTGATGTGTCCTCAAGGTTCAAAACAAGGGGAATTGGAGGACCTCAGCACTGACTGGTACAGTTTGAGACGTCTCAATGCAGCCATCTCCAGAATGGATGCTCCTGGTCACCCCCATCTGTGGTCGGCTAATAAAAGTTTGGGAACCGAGGAAAGCCAATGACACTAGAAATTGTAAGTGTCTTGGCTAAGGCCCTTGGATTGAATGTGGCCTATACTTGCATCTGTGATCCCTGTTTCTTCGCCCTCCCCTAACCTACCAATTCTGTTCATTCTTTTAGTTATGACAGGATACCTGGCCTGGTGGGCCCAGAAGCCAGTCTGTCACTTCCAGAGAGCTTTTCATATTTTCTTTCTGATTCATTATATTTAACTTTAGCTCTCAGAGGCAATCTTAAACTCTTATTTTTAATATTTTGCATGAGCTGTCATTGAAATTCTGAAGAGTTGACCACAGATAGTATCTATGGTCCTAATAGAATAATGGTGAGGCTTGAATGAAATAAAATGCCTGAAATACACAGCACAGTGAGCTTTTCCGAATAAGTGCTTCCTAAACATTAGTCATTTCTTACATAAATCACTTCACACAGAGTCTACATTTGGCTACTGATATCTCTAGAATCATATATTTTTCTCCTGATTAAAATAATAATGTATGTTCATTGAAGAAAATTTGGGTTTTATGCAGAAGTGTAAACAAGAAAATGAAAACATAAATTTTAATGGTTATAAGATGTATCATAGTTTATTTGACCATCTCTATTACTGATAATTTATTTCAGAAACTTTTCAGTAATTAAATAATGTGTGATCCTTTGCAAACTCCAAAAAGCATTACAGATTAGATTAAAACAAGTTTTACAAGTGTGGTGCACAGACCCTCAGACATCCCTAAGATCCTTCAGAGTGTTAAGGTCAAACTCTTTCACAATAACAAAAAATGTTATGTGCCTTTTTCATTGTGTTGACATTTGCAGTGATGGTACAAAAGCAACAGTGAGCAGAACTTCTATTGCCTCAGCACAGATAAAGGCTCCAAGCTGTGTAGTTGTTCTTACATTTTCACCAGCAAGCATTTACTAGAATAACGTTTAAAATGCAAGTTTTTACTCGATTGTTCTTGATGGGGCAGTAAAAGTTACTAATTTTATTAAGTCCACACCCTTGAAAACATGTCTAAAAATTTCTTTTTCTGTATGACCAAGACAGAAATACGCATACAGTATTTTTGCTGCTCACCAAAGTAATTATTGATAGTAGAAAAGCACTTTTGTGATTGTTTGAGCTAAACTGGCCCCCCCTTTTTATAGATATAGAATACCATCTTCACCTGAAAGATGCTTTACACACTATTAATCCAACTTAGATATTTGGCAGACATGTTCTTAAAAATGAGAAAAGTGAGGTGTCACTTCAAGGAAAACAACCATTGGTATTTGTTGCAACAGATAAAATTTAAGGTAGTTTGTAAATTAGAATTTTGGAGAACTTTCATCTGCCACCTATGAAATTAATAGCTACCCAATGTATTAAGAAATATCTGATGATATTGATGATGATATTAACAAATGGGATGCTCTTGACATTGTATCATGAAATTTGGAAGATCTGCCTAACTCAGTGAAGCAATGGTTTTCAAAGGATCAAAGCATTTTATTACAAAATCACACACATTAGTAAAAGCCATTCAAAGTGCAAGACAGACCAATGGCTTTTAACATGACAGAATATGAAAAGTTCATTGACATTGTTTCAGATTCCATATTGAAACTAACTTTTATCTCTTGTTTAGTTTGAATGTAGTATCAAAGAAGAATACCCAGTCATGAGAAAAAGCTGTTAAATGTGTCTCCCTTTTCTAACTGTGATGTTTGACTTTCCTCATGGAATTTAAGCAAAACAAAGTATCTCAACAGATCAAACACAGAAGCAGGTATAAGAATCCAATTGTCTTTTATTAAATCAGATGTTAAAAGATTTTTAAAAATGTAAAAACAAGGCTAATCTCTTTGTCTTAGAAAAACAATGTGTGTTTTTTTTGTAAAGATGTGTTATAGTAATATACAGTACATTTCTTATTTTAATTATCAAATAAATCAATAACTAATGATTTTTTAAATATTTGTTTTCTAACATGCTGAATATTGATAGATATAACCTACACAGTCTGAAGCTCTTCGGGGGAGGTCTTAATTTTTAAGAGTGTAAGAGAGTCCTGAGATCTAAGTTTGAGAACCACTAGGTTAAAATTATTAAAGATACTAAGTGTTGATGAGAGGAAGAAAATTAACACTTTTGAATGTTTGCCATGTTCTGAGCTCATTCAATTCTCACGATTGCCCTAAAAGGTGAATATTATTATTTCCATTTAAAGGTGAAGAGAGCAAGTTCAAAGAGAGTAAGATTTTGTCCAAGGTTATAATTTAAACCCAGGTCTGAAAAACTCCATGGTCTTTCCTCTTACGTCTTATTGCCTTTCTACTAAATAGCATTTTTATTCCATAATTACAAGGTTTGGATTGATCAAAGGATTGACTTTTGTGTTTAGTGTTTGAATTCCTGGTGTGTATATGTATCTGGACAAAGAAACTGGGAGAATTTCCACATGTAATGGAAAAGGAAAAATAATGTTGCAGCAAAAAAAGAACTTTATATATAAGTTTAACTAATGGTAATTTTGCCAACAAGAATAAAAGAAACAGTTTAGAAAATAGAAAAAATATTGACCTTTCAAGAGATCTAATATATAATACTCTATTATTGATAGTAGCTGCCATTTACTTAGAGCTTCAAGATCAACCCCAGTACTAAATGCTTCCCTTCATCACCTCCACCAATCCTTAAAACCACTCTGTGATCAGCTGTTATTCCAAACTGAAGCTTTGAGAGGTGAAACGATTCACTTACGGAGACATTGGGAGTGAGTAGATGAATGTGGACTTATTTCCAGGCTGACTCCAAAGCCCATGCTCTTAACCACACTATACAATGTGCCTGCTCCCCGAAGGGTTTCAGCTCCTGGAGGACAGAGCCCAGATCTTTTTTCCCAGGGATCCCATGCCTAGCACATACTTGGCACATAGTTGAAGCTCATTAAGTTTTTGTTTAATGGTTGAATGAATAAATGAATGCATGAATGAAATGCAATCAAAACTATAAAATGCCCTAGGCTTTCCTTCTCTAGAAACCTGATTAAGAACAGGATCTTGTTAATTCAAGATGCTGGGCTGTCAGTTTAGCTGAGCCATTGAAGTTTGTTAATTTCAATTTTTTCTCCTGATAACATTCCATACCTATTGTTCCCTATTGTTATTAAATTTTTTAAAAATTAATTTCAGGGAGAGAAAGGGAGAGGGAGAGAGAGATAGAAACATTAATGATGAGAGAAAATAATTGATTGATTGCCTCCTCCACATCCTCTTCTGGGGATCGAGTCAGCAACCTGGGCATGTGCCCTGTCGGGAAATTGAACTGTGACCTCCTGGTTCATGGGTCAACGCTCAACCACTGAGCCACACCGGTTGGGGCCCTGTGGTCATTTTTGTACTTTAAGGTACCACATCTGATCTGACCTGTGACAGAAAAAAATGATTTTAAACAAACCCCTGGGGCAGAGGTAGCACTTTGTAATGCTAGATAGAATTGTTCTACTTGACTCTTTACTGAAGCTTGTTGAAGGAGAAAGACATAATATATAGAAATTTTAGACTGGTGCAATATTCTGATTTTTTTTTCTAAAAAGGCCAAAAGCATTAGAAATGCCTTTATATTAAAGATTTAGGAGGCTCATAGCACCAAGCTTATTTCCCTTTACAAGTGAATCAAACAATTTATGATGATAATCATAATTTATTTATTATACAGCATTTTTGAGGATACAAATCATTATATCTCTATAGAAATCTGTTCAGTGTTGCAGGAATTGATAGATGTCACTCAGTATCCATTCTTTTTTTCTTCTCTACTAACAAAATTCTGATTCTATTTGGGGTAGCAATGTGCTTCCTTTGCAGCTAGCTGTGGCTATGTAACTAAGTTCTGGCCAAGGATACACAAGTGTAAGGAGTTCTAAAATTTTCTGGCAAAACTCTTTAAATTGAGTAAATAAAATCAATATTCATTTGTAACTTTAAAAAATATTACCAAACAAGGAATAGAAGGAAACTTCCCTGATCTGATAAAGGGAATCAAAAACAATAACAACAGCAACAACAACAAAAACAACCACTAGGTAACAACATACTGAAAGGTCAAATGTTGAAACTTTCCTCTTAAGATCACAAGCAAGATGAAGGGCAGCTTCGATCCATTTCTACTTAAAATTGTACAAGAGATCCTAGCCAGCATGAAAGGCAAGCAAAAGAAAGAAGAGGAACAAATATTGGAGAGAAAGAAGTTGTTATTCACAGATGACCTGATTATGTACATAGAAAATCCTAAGGAATCTACAAAAAATCAGACTAGAACTAATAAAAAATATATCAAGATTGCAGGATACAAAGTGAATATGCAAAATCAATTGCATTTGTATATGTTATCAACGAACAATTCAAAAATAAAATTTAAAAATTAACTTTAACAACAGCATTCAAAAGCTCATAGCAATAAATCAGACAAAGGATGCACAGGATTTTATCCTGAAAATGACAAAACATTGCTGAGAGAAATGAGACAAGATCTAAATGAATGGAAATATATGTCATGTGCAATGATTGGAATATCCAATCTACATTCTGCCCAAATTGGCCTGTGCAATTCTAATCAAAATCTCAGCATATTTTTTTAAAGAGTTGACAAGCTGATTCTAAAGTTACTATGGAAATGCAGAACATGTAGAATAGCCAAAACAAAGGAACAACAAAGTTGGGCTTGCACTCCAGATTTCCAGACTTTTTATAAAGCTACAGTAATAAAGATTTATAAAGCATTAGAGTTACATGACTGTGTTCAAAGGATCAATGGAACAGAATAGAGTTCCCAGAATTAGACTCACACATACTCAGTCTATTGCCCTTTTTCAAAGGCATCAAGATCATTCAATGGGGAAAGGAAAATCTTGCATAACAAATAGTTCCAGATATTTGCATGGGAACATAGGCCGTTTTCCTCATTCAAATAAAAGCACATATTTTGAGGTCATAGTCATAACTGCAAGAGCTTCAATGGAAAAGCTTCTAAAAGAAAACATAGCAAGCATCTTTGTGACGTTGGAATTCACAAAAATTTCTTAGGACAAAAAAGGAACTAAGCAGGCAGGTAACTAATTGTACATCTCAAGAAAATAACTGGTGTCATTAGATTCTCTTATATCATTCCTGAGAGGATTAACTTAAGCATCCAAGGAAGTTAAAGTAAAACCAGCTCTCTTTGTACAAACTTCATGATTTTCATGTTTTCATGATATTTTGAACTTCAGTGATGATTTAAAAATAAAGGTGTTTATTGTATGAAAACAAAGAACTAACCATTACATAAAAGATTGATAAATTGTACTTTATCCAAACTAAAAACTTTTGCGTGACCACAGACATTGCTAGAAAAATAAAAATACAATCCATAGACTGAGTGTAAATATTTTCAAAACAGATAAAGAACTTTTATCCAGAATGTATAAAGTACATATACAGTTGAATGTTAAGAAGACAATCTAATTTTTTAAAGTGGGCAAAATATTTGAAATAATACCTCACAAAATAAGATATAAGAATGGCAAATAAAGACATGAAAAGATGCTCAACATTATTTGTCATTAAGAAAATGCAATTTAAGCTACAATGAGGTACACACTTATTTGAATGGCTAAAATTAAGGAGACTGCCTATACCAAGTATTAGCAAGTATTTTTAATAACATTGCTGATGGAAATGCATATCCACTTTGGAAAATAACTTGATAGTTTCTTAAAAAATTAAAACTATACTTATACCATTTAGCAATTCCAATTCTGGTTATCTATCCAAGAAAAATAAAAAGTCCATCTATCCACACAAAGAATTATATGCAAGTGATCATAACAGCATCTTTCATGATAGCCAAAATAATGGGTAACAATCCAAAATAATGTCCATTAATGGAAGAATGAATAAGCAAAGTATATAGTAAATCCATATTAATGGACTATTACTTAAAACAAAAAGGATCAAACTACTGAGAAACACAAAATCATGGATGAATCTCAAAAATATTATTTTGAGCACAAGAAGGCAAACACAGAAAGCTATATGACATTACTTTATTTATATAAAATCCCAAAATAGGAAAAACCTATCTAAATTACAGGAACCAAAAAGTGGTTGCCTCTGGTGAACTAGAACTGATTGTAATGAAGCCTAAGGGAAGTTTCTGAGTGTTGAAAATGCTCTATATCATGTTTTAGGTAGTGATTATATTGGTATATTCAACTGTCAAAACTCATCAAACTGAGCATTTTTGATGTGTGCATTGTAGTATATGTCAATTATATGTCAAAAAAGGAAGTGGGGACAGACACCATCTCTATACTTGAATGCAAACACAACTTCCAAGAGTTACAATCAGTAACGAGTTCCTTTCATGGTCAAATTATTTTGGTTTATGTCAGATTCGAGTTGGAAATCACACTGAAATGTCTTAAAGTGATATTATTAAACTTGTTTGTCTTTTACAGAGATGGCTGCCTGGGTGCATACAAGTATTAAAAGTCAATGGAGGCTAGGAAAGTTATTTCATATATGCCATACTTATGGCAGTAAAAGGCTTGGTTTTGGAGCAAACCAGATCTTAGTACAAATCCCTGATTAGTCATGTGGCCTTGGGGAAATTCCTAAACTCTCAGAGCCTCTGTTACTTCCTCCGAATAGGGATAAGAGAATCTGCTTTGACTTGCTGTTATTATGAAGACTGAAGGGTGTCATTTATGTAAAACCTTCAGCATATGGCCTGGCACTAACCAAATGATAGCTCTTTTTCATTAGAAGGATATGAAATAATTTTATTTGGAACATGTCATTGACTCTATAGGTAAACCATCACAAAGCAGTTCGCCTTCAACCATTACCACCTGCATGATACAATATTTTAATTGCTGGTTAAAGCATATTATAATGGAGTCACCATCCAATTTTCTACTGAATTAGGTAGCAGTGAAGGCTACAAAGGCCTTCTCCAAGCAGTAAGAGAAATCCACATTTCCCAAAGTATGTCAGAGGAAGCTGCAAAACATGCTATTTTGGCAGAAGTCATTATAGTGGAGACTCTGAGAACATGTGGGTTACTGTCAAATGGCCACAGAAAGTGGTGATCATTTAGAATAGATGGTCTCAAATGGGCTGGGGATGGGCACATAGCGGAAGTGGTGAGTGGAACCCATAGCGAAAGACTTGGTCCCCTTGTCTGCAGAACACAGAGCCAAATTTGCCATATTTTGACCTACACAGGGAGACAGATGCTGCAAGGACCCAAGGCTAGAGCCATGTATTAAGATGACTTTCCCTTGGTTCTGAACAACCCAGGCAACTGAGAGAGCTGCCGAGATCTAACCAGACAGGAGGGAAATGCCAGGGAGTTAGCAAGCTCCTGCCAAGTGCAGCTCAGAGCGGGGCTATCTCTACAGTAAATCAGTGTTCAAAGATTCCAGAGAATCATTTACTTACCTGCAAGGGTTGGCGATTTCTTCTGGCGTTGTTTTCATAAAAGGGGAGACGGGTTTTTCCACAAAGGAGCCAAAGCCCAGTCTAAAGTTGCTAGTTAATTTAGACATCTCCTTGGAAAGCAGGGAACCCAGCTCTTTGATTGTGTTGAGGTCATCGTCCATGGAGGCCGAGAGGTCCATGAGGTAATACAAGTCCACTGGGTAATCCTCCGTCTGGCGAACTTGCACTTGCACAGTCTGTTCACCACCTGCAAATACCCCGCAAGAAAAGTGAGCCCATAAATATGCATTGAGACGTGTTTGTGACTAGCCAATCACTGGGCTAGCTGCCTATTTCATTTCAATAAGAAGTTACTGAAGATACTAAAGATTTCATAAACTATGTGGCAAAGTTTATAAATGAATGAGCCCATGGTAATCTTTCAGCAGTGTGTTTAGAGCTACTGAAGGAGGTAAGAGTTAGGATATTTTATATCACCTTGGGAGGACTAGCATCCATTTAGATGAGAGATAAGCTGATTCTTTTTTTGTATTTTTAGAAGAGGAGAGCAAAATGAAAAGGAGTTTAAAGCTACGTTACAACTCTTGAAGAAATGTGAGGAAAACCTTAACAACATTTGAGCAATTCAAATGGCTTCAATTAGATAAGGCTTTTTATAGTGACACATTTAGAGTACAAGTGACCAATATGAATAAAGAAAAACAGTTCTCTATTTCCTTAAGAATGGGCAAAGGAAATAATAAACAATGGTATTGTAATATGTGGTACAAGGTATCTGAGCAGAACAGTGAGATTACCATGTGATCGTAGATATTTTTACATGATCTAATGCTCATGTCAATCATAACATACCTGGTCTCAATTTAAGAATCAAGCTTTGAGGTGCAATCTGAACAATGTCAGAACTATTTTTCTGTCTGCCTACACTGAGAGGCTTATTTGTAAGTATTTCTACTTGGGAGACAGGGTTTTCGATGAAGTTTTCTTGACATCCTTTAGCTAGAAGATTTGCTCGAGTATCACACCTTTCACCAACTCCAGGTAACTGGGTAAAATTCTAAAAAAGAAAAACAATAAAAAGAAAAAGACAAATCTGTATTTTTGTAAGATACAATTTTATTTTGCTTGCTTTACTAGTTAGGCATCTTGCCATACTCAGAATGTCATATCCCTGATATTGCTTGTATGTCTAAAATTAAGTTATAGCAGAATAACCAGAGAATTCTGCCACTAAAATTCAGAGTAAAATTGCATTCTTCTTTTATTATATTCAAGTGAATTCACCTAACAATTTGTTTTGGTTGTATAAAATGCTTATTTTTCAAATTTCCTTTGCTGTGCCCAGAAACATGAGACAGATGAGTCAGATAATGCAGTAGATATCATTTGTGATAAATTCACAGATGACCTGGAGGTTTGTGGAATCCTAGGATTATCCAAGTTCTCAGTGTGTCTAATGCCAAACCCAGTGACCTTTTTCTGTGGATTCCTACATTGCTTTATCTAGCTCTCTGTCCTGGTTTAATACATGGATGCATCACCCTTATGTTACAGTAGTACTTCATTAAAGTTAACCTCTTGGGGACTTTAAACTCAGTGTCTTAAAGTATTCAATTTAAGATCTTTTAGAACTTTTTCCAAGATTTGGAAGTGGGGAAATGAAATGAAAGAGAATAGAGTGCTTTTCTATTTAAGACTTGGGAATTTCCCAGTAGCTCTGATTCAGCCGAGTAGCAGGAGGCAGTGAGATGAGTGTTTCCAGGAAGACACGTGGCCAGGGAGTCGCAGGAAAAAGGCAGAAGGAGTGGAAGGATAAATACTTGTCTTACCTGGAAAGAACTTGTGAGGCTCTAAGCAGTCAAACTTGAGGCCCATTGACTCTCATGCTTGGAAAGAGGCAAACCATGCTCATGTTGTTCTCATGCCTTAGAATTCTAAGCCACTCTTGCTGTTTCACCAGCTAGGAAACTTTCCTTCTGAAATTGATTTTTGAGACTGTAATTCGTTCTATATCAGTCAAGCCTGTGCATATTTGAGGCACCAGGCTACGGGTAGCAAACTAACTTACTGTGATGTATCCAAGGTAAACAGTGGCTGGACAAGGCCTCGCAACCCTTCTCAACATGTCACTGCTACCACCTATAATTACTATCTTTGCCAAAAGACTAGAGCTGGTATTAATCATAGAGGCTATTCTTCTATATGTTCTAAGAAGCAGCCTAATTTACTTTTTGTTCCAAATGCCTCAGCTGATATAACTGCTACCATTAGAGTAATCTTTTAGAATAATCTGGCCTTAAAATTTGGCAATAACTGACTACCAAGTATCATCCCCAGGTAAAGCTATCAGTAGTAACTTAAGAAGCTCTCTTAAATGAGTGCTAAAAGATGCATTGAGATAAAAATTCCAGAGTGAACAGTTTGTTAGACTGATTTGTTGTTTTACGTCTCTGGTAGGAAACTAATATTGTCTTTTTTAGGGAGTCAATGTAAAAAAATGTGGGTTTTCCCTTCTCTGTATATTCTCAAACCTATTCTTCATACACGAGCTCAAAAAGGCATAATTCTGGGGGCTGGGTGTACACACACACACACACACATGCACGCACACACACGCACACACACACACATCTCATAAATACAGACAACAATGTGGTGATTACCACAGGGAAAGGGGGATGGGAGAAGGTAGGAGAGGGTCAAAAGGGGATATGGTGATGGAAGAAAACTTGATTCACAATACAATAGACTCATGATGTATTATAGAATTGTACCCCTGAAACCTATATAATTCTGCTAATAAATATCACCCCAATAAACAATACAAAGAAGAAAGGAAAAAGCATAATTCCCTCGCACTGTACTTTTGTTTGTGCCTCATCAGTCAAGAGGTGAGGGACGTGAGCTGGGTTTTCGTTCTGGGGTCCCTGAAGCCCTCCTCCACGGGTAAACATTCAGCCTGCAAGGCGTGTTGAACAGTTCTAGTCTGGTCTGAGAGAGGGGTCCAGGTTGGTTCCCCTTGAGCATGCTACCAGTCCTTGCTGAACTTGGCGTTAGTGCGTTTTGTTTTGTGTTTAGATTCTCTTTATGAGATTCAGTAGTGCAGTGTTCTAAATCCAGAAAAAGCTAAGCAGATTTTGTTGTTCTTGTTCTTATCAAGAATCATTTATAGGTCGCTCTCTAGTGTCACAGGAGGCAGTGACTCAGGCTGGCTTGTAATACATTCCCTCGTCCTTGTACTACCTCCACATACTTTTCCATTTGAACAGATAAGGAATGCTATTTTGGGCTTGGTCATTGTGGTACAGTCACCAAGCTCATGAAAATGTAATGTTTAAAAGAACTAGGTAATGTCTCAATAGTAAAGTTTAACCCAAATCTAGAATACTTCTCTTAGAATCTCACAATGATTCAGAATGGATCCCGGTTCACAGGTGGACTACAATTATGGGACTGAAGTCAAATATATATTTAACATTAGAAAATACCATCTCCATGACCTCTGATGGCATTTGACCGGTGAACAGTTAGAATTGGCTTTAATATAAGGGGAGGAATCAGGTGAAATAACGGACCCCGAGTTAAATATTTTTCTGAATAATTTGACATTCACTCCCTCTGCAAATTGCTTTTGAAAGTAATCACAGCAATGACTACTTTGATCCATCTACTAATGCTTACATTTTCCCTCCTAGGTTTCTCTCACCCTTCTAACCCCACAGAGAGCAGGACACAGTCAGAACATCACTGATGGCATTAACGTAAGTGTAACTGAGGCTTTTACAATCACGTTGAGGTCATTTGTTTTACCTCCTGAGAGCACCAGGCACACTGAGGTCCAATGAGCAAACAGTCTCCGCAGGTCTCTGCACCTCCCATGGCACAGCCACCTGTGTTTAAACCCAGCAAGACACAGGGATTCAGCACTCTCTCAGTCACTCCACTTTCCAGGCTTATGGCTCTTAAAGTACTTGAACGAAGCAATAGCCAAGTTTATTTTTGTCTTCACAGATCAGTCCTCAAAATGTTACCAATTGATAAAGTTTATATTTGACATCAACCACATTGAAAATATGTATGTCTTATTATCCTAAATGATCATTCTCTTTATTCTTAAAATAGGAAATATTCCAATGTTCACAAATATATAAAATTATCATTTACTGTTCTCATTCATTATTATCCACTTTAATTTAAAAAAAATATATTTGCACCTTTTTAAATACTTCTCTCTTAAATGTACTATAGTTTTAGTTTTTAAATAAATCCCTGTTCTCTCTCAAGGTCATTCATTACTCTTGTTGTATTAAAAAGAAAACCAGCTAGTACAGTTAACAAAATGGTTGTCACAAATGTATTAAGAAGTCCCATTGTATAGTAATGCTGTTTAATTCTCCTCATTAAAGTGCCCATGCAACCTTTGTATTTATTTACTTTAAGCCTAGAGCATACGCTGTGGAACAGTCCTGCGTCTGCCTGTAATTTGTTAAAGTGTTCACTCAATGGCAAGAAAGCAATCAAACCGGTTAAATAAAAAATGACTTCAGATCGCGTTTCTGAACCAAATGACAGGTTTGTCAAGCATACCACGAAAGCAATATATCGGAGAGCTCAGGTCTTACCTTGTACGTGATCGTGCCTTCCTAGAAATAGAAAGAACAGGCAAAGCAGTTCAATCCCCATTCGTTTCAGTTCTCGCTGTGCAAACAGATTAAAAAATGAATTACCTTCAGCGTTACAAGACCAAAGCTGAACATCGTTAAAGTCTTTTTTCCTCGAAGTGTAAAATGTTGAATACTACTTACACTGCTTTGAAAAGAAACTTGAGATGTAAATAAAAAAGTTTTCATTAAGACAAATGAAAACAGAGGCTACCTGGACAGGTAAAGAAGAAAAGCTGTGCTTAAGAGCAACTTCAACATGATTTACTTCCTTGTTCTCCTTATAAGGAAAGCAGGTGTACAATCACCAAGAAGGTGGAGAAATTCATTCAGTAGAAATTTTTGTGTAATTTCTATTAGTCTCTCTGCATCCTAGAGAAAGTCAATACCTTCAGAGAAATATTGATCAGTGAAATGTCAAAAGAGCAATTGAAATGTTTTAAAGTTGTTTCTAAAATAATTTGAAAGAAAAACAATAAAGATGATAAATAAAACACAAATCTGTAAGTTATAGGTAAGGAGGGTTTAAAAAATTGAGCTAAAGAAAAATACCTGAGATTTTTGTATTCCATTTTAAATCCTTTGCAGAGAATTGAAATAAATTCTGAAAAATAGAAACCATTTCACAGTCAATTTAGAAGGCAGGCTAAGGAAAGCAAAACATTGTGCTCCTTTGTTTTTCACATTGGATGGAAGATACTTTTTTATATAAGTATAGAAATCTTATTTTTAAAACAATATTTTAAATAAATATAATAAAACCAAATTAGACCAGAATTAGTCTCAAAATAGCAATAGTGGAAACTGAAACATTGATGCCCAAGATTCTGAGTCATTCCTGATAGGAAGCAAGTGCTCTTGGTTGTGTCCTTCCCAGCTTCTAGCTCACACCGTGGAGCATAGGAGGTATTTATTTGTTGAACAAAATAGTGACAAATTTAAAATTCATACAAGCCATGGCTAAATTCATGAGGCTGATCATATATTTTCCTAATGTATTCAAGAGTATGTTTTGCGCCTCGCCGGTGTGGCTCAGTGGTTGAGTGTTGACCTTTGAACTGGGAGGTCACAATTCGAGTCCGGGTGGAAGCATATGCCTGGGCTGTGGGTTCAGTTCCCAGTGTGGGGCATGCAGGAGGCAGCCGATCAATGATATGCGCTCATTATTGATGTTTCTATCTCTCTCTCCTTCCCCCTTCCTTTCTGAAATCAAATATATATATATGACATTTTGGATGTGTAGAGACTACAAACCGGTACTAATAAAATATTCACTTTCTCTCCAAACTGAACTTAGGCTTCTTTGTGGCTTATGTTCTGGGAAGAGGGTGGAGCAGATGGGGGACGGCGGTGAAAGGGGCTGTCCTAACACATGGTGAAGGAAGATGATTTGAATTTGGGTGGTGGGTGCACAGTGCAATATACAGATCTTATAACATAGAAATCCACACCTGAAACCTATATGATCCTATTAACCAATGTCATCCTAATAAATTTAATTTTTTAAAGTGTATTTCTAAGCAAGCACGTGAAATCTATGAAAAGAGGAAAACTAATTACAGGTTCTTCTCAGAAGGCTTTGTTCATTTTGAACTCTATCATACACAAGAACCTGGAAGAACATGGCAACAATCCTGTAGAGAGAACACAGAATTATGAAAGAGTTGGAAGTATGCCTTTTGGGAGAAAAATACAGTTCTATGAATTAAATTGATTTGGCTTAAAGAAGAAAGATTGATACACAAGTTATCTGTGTCCCTGATATTGCCTCCATTTTTGTATCTAGTATTAGGTTTCATTCATTGATTCATCCAACAAATATTTATTGAACATCTACTTTGTGCCAAAGATTGTTCTAGAAGAAGCCAAGTAAACAAAGCCAAGCTCTTGAGACATAAAACATATATTCCAGGCTGAGTAGCAGTAGTAGAAAGACAGATTCTTAAAATCAGGCAGTGATAAGGCTATGAAAATTATAAAACTGGGTAAAAGGAAAGAGGGATAGGAAGGGTGAGTTACTTCATTTAGGATAGTCAGGGAGGATTTCTCTGCTCAATTGACACCTAACAGATCCCTAAATGACTTGGGCAACAAAGTGCAAAGGCCCTGAGACAGCCTCGTGCTGAGCATTTCCAAGGACAGTGGAGGGCAAGACGAGAGACAGAGTAATCAAATGAGGTTAGATCGAGAGGCAGAGATCAGATTGTATGTAGTCTTGACTGTGAATTTTATTTTAAATGTGATATATCCCACTGTCAGACCATCTCCAACTGGGTGCAGGCAGCAACAACAAGGTCCCCAGGGAACTCCAGACACTCAATGTGACCCTGTTGCTAAACTGGGGACCTTGTACTATGCCAGGTACAGAATTCCATCCAGTCCCTAAATAAGAAGGGCACTGCTTTATTTGCTCTCCAGCCCAGTTGCAGCCCCTCCCCCACATCCAAGCCTTTGCGCCCACCATTTGTGCTGCCTGGAGGCTCTTGCCTTCTTATTTTTCTCACTTGACTAACTCAACTCACCATGTAGGTCTCAGTGTAGACGTTACTGGGACTTGCCCCCCACAGAACTTCATGGTCTCTCCAGGCTTCCTTTCCAGGAGGCTTTCCCCAAGCTAGTCCTTTTCACTGTCCTTGTAAGTGTCTACATCCTGGCCTCCCCCCCCCCCCCCCCCCAAGTGTGAGGTCTTTTAAGGCATTTATTTATTCAACACCCATCTCTTGTATTTTTACTTGGTATCAGGCAGGACTGTCTTAGTTATCTTTATATTTACAAGCAGCATAATGCTTGTACTTTGAAAGTATTCAATTATTATTTTGCCTACAATACTCCATTAATATTAAGTTTATAAGTGATTAAATGAATAACTGGTTTTCGAAGGTACGTAATGCAATTAGGAGAGGGAAAAGGTGCTTCCCACTTGGGTGGTGATGAAAGCTTAAAATGCAGGGTGGAGAAAAGCAGCTGAATTTAAGAGAAAATACAGAGTACAGCAATGCTACAATTAAGCATCCACCCACGGTGTTTTCCCCTTGGCACCATGCTGGATAATTTGTACCAGCTAAAAGGCACAGGGGAAACATTCTTGCTTCCTGAAGATGTGATGCCTGGTGCCCTCTCCTGGAAAGTACCTGCCCCTGCCCCTATTGTTCCAGGAGCGGCCAGCACCCCAGCACTGGAAGAAAAACTGTGTCCCCTTAGCCAAGCCAACCAGATTAATTACCTCTGCTTCTGTATATGGATGGAGCTTGAGCTAGAAAATACAGACCAAAATCAGGGGTTTGGTCATGGGGGCTGAAGCTGGCTGAGAGAGGACGTGAGTTTAGAGGGAACATAGTGCTTCAGGAGCGAGGCAGTGTTGGGAGGAATCTGCAGCTACAAGGAGACAGAACCCCGGGCAGAGGAAAGCTATGATGAGTCGATGAGGTGGTGGGTGGAGAATGTCAAAGCAGTGTAGAAGGAAGGGTCCCTGAGCCCCATGAACTGAGGAGTGCTCGAGTCAGACCCACACACTCACTCTGTTGAGGGGACAGAACATGGCCCAGGTCAAGAGCTGCCATGGACCCTAATTGCCCCTCCAGATCGGATCTCCCCAAGGCCTGGTTCTTCCTGGGTTTCCCCAGCATCCTGTCTCTTTTAGAGCAAGGTGTGTTCTTACAACAAATTATCATCACTTGTGGGTGGTTGAAGGAATCTCTGTGTTCCTTCAAATCAAGAGATCCCAAGTCACACCATCTATATTTTCAGGCCCATAAGACAGCATGCTTCCATCTATTTGAGGGTCTGACCCTTTTCAAAGGGTCTGAACTGGGGGAGGCGGACTCACAGAGCACTTTACAGCTAGGGGAGCAGCACCCCCCGCACTCTGCCCTTCAACTGGCCTTGGTTTCTGAGATTTAGAAATAGACTGTCTTCAGCGGAATCCTGACTTCAGCAAGCCATGTGAGCCCATCTGAGTCACTGTGTTTTGACTTGGTCTTTCTAGGACCCTGTCACTCATCCACATCAGAGAATGACAATCTTAGGCCCAGCTGGGCCAACTCCAGGGCATCTCAAAACACCTCTGGGAGGGTAAATACTGAGTCAAGCTGGCTGGGAGCCAGTTCAAGCCCTGGTGACCTTAGTAATGACTGTCAGGTCTTGGGATGGCATGGCTGTGTTAACCTGCTTTATTTCAAGTACTGGTGACAAGTCTACCTCCTGTTGTCTTTTCATGAAAATGTCTCTGACAGAGTAGCTGAAAGATAGTGGAAATGGGTGCATTTGGCCCTGATGTAACTTTATATGTGAAGTGCCACAGAGTGGATTGTTTGTAGATGCCACAGCTTGTGGGTGTAACTTGGGCAGCACAGAATCTGGAAGTGATACCTTGCTTCATATTTCAAGACCTTCAGAAGAATTCTTTTAAAGAAGGGTGTGCAATGGTTTTCTATCACCTTGGTGTATGATGCGCACAATGTGCTAAATACTAGAGAAATTTTTATGGCCTAAGCCCAACATTCTGGAGTTTGCCTTTTTTTTTTTTTTATTACTGTGGTAAAATATATATAACATAACATTTATTATTATAACCATTTTTCAGTTATAGTTCATTGGCATTAAGTATATTCACCCAGGTTTGTATGTGGAAAGACCTGGGTTCAAATTGTAGCCCTGCCAAGTCCTACTGTATATCTTTGGGAATAGCATTTATCTCTCAGCACTTTAGTTTTCAGACTGTGAAACAGTGATAATATATACTTTTCAGGATTATGGTAAAGATTTAATTATACCATTCTGAGATATATCCAGATTTTGTGAGGCCTGAATATTATATGATTTAGGAGGCCATCTTTAAGAAAAGGAATGCAGAAAATAAACATACAAGTCCAGGAAGCACAGGGAGTCGCTACAAGATGAACCCAAAGAGGCCCACACCAAGACACATCAGAATTAAAATGCAAAGGGTTAAAGACAAAGAAAGAATCTTAAAAGCAGCAAGAGAAAAGCAGTTTGTTACTTACAAGGGAGCTCCCATAAGACTGTCAGCTGATTTCTCAACAGAAACTTTGCAGGCCAGAAAGGATTGGCAAGAAATATTCAAAGTGATGAAAAGTAAGGACCTTCAACCAAGATTACTCTACCCAGCAAAGCTATCATTTAGAATTGAAGGACATATATAGAGCTTTCTAGACAAGTTCATCACCAACAAACCAATATTACAAGAAATGTTAAAGGTTCTTCTTTAAGAAAAATAATAAAATAAAAA